CTTTTTTTTTTTTTAATTATATTTTTTTCATTTTTACTTTTGTAACATGTTTTACTCATTTTCGGTTCTTTTGTTTTAACATTTGATTGACAATTTTATATGATTTTTTTACGCGAACGGATTATAATATATTTAACATATTTTCATACGTTCTACTTATTTTTATCTTCAAACGAAGAAATCGACAGATATTCGAATTATACTGTGTTATTGCTAAGATATATGAGTTAAGAGATTTTAAAAACTTTAGATATATAAAATTAATTATTAATTAGTGATTCTTGAGATAATTTCAAGTAATTTTTTTAACGTTGAAAAAATTTCCGTTTCGTCTTCGTTAACGAATTGTTAATGAAAAACATTATAACAACATCGTAACATTATAACATTTATTTTTCTTCTATCGAATAAAATATTGTTATCGAGTTGTAAATCTATATTTTAAATTCTATATTTTTTTAATGTTTACAAATATTATAATCTTGTCACGATCAATAATAAAAGATTAATTAATTCATTATTTCTGTATTTATTTCAGAATTAAATTTAATTTCTACTAAAAAAATGCTAATTAAACTATTAAAAAATTTTTTTGCATAAATTGCTTTATAGAAAATAACAAGGGTGACAATTAATACAATAAAAATTACATGCTTGAGAAATTAAAATTGATCTACATATAAAAAAAACTATTAAGATTAAGCAATGTATCTTTCAATCAATATCAATCGAGACACCCTATATGTAATCTAAACATAGATAAAATAGTTAAAAATACAACAATGAATTTTTTCAAAATTTTTTACACGATATATAAAGTGCAAAGTATTAATATAAATCTGAAAAACTCCGATGTATTATTTCGAATGAATCGAAAGAATAACGTTAAAATCTTAAAATCATACGTCTTTTACATTTTCTTGCGAAATCGATCGAAACGCGTCGAGCGCAGAAATTCTTTGGTCTCCTCGCGTTCACCTGCAGGAAATCCCATGATCGACCGGCACAATATTGCCTGCGTATAATACATAAAGCGCGCGCGCGATGCATACACATTGATAACTGCAGCGTGAATGCATGCTGCAATAACGTTGATGCAACTGGATATGTAAACGATGAGTATTGACGAGAATATCGGCCAGAGAAATCAAATGCGTTCTCAGCATCTGCGAAGAAACTTGGATTCGTGAAAAATGATTCAGCTTCTTGACACGTGTGTGAATAATTTTCAAGCGTAATTTATGATATAATAATTCGAGCATGCGTATGAAATATAAAAAAGTATTTGTGTGGATAAGTGGAAACATAGAAGTGATAATTAAAGAAATTTATATTTTTACGCCAAACATTTTAACAAAGTATATTTTTCACACGTTATTAAAATATTATAACAGTTTGACGAGAAGTAAAAAGTAGAAATAATTGATTGAATTAGAGAAATGGATGAATCAGTAAGGATGTAGTTAATGATCACGTGGCGCTAGTATCGCGTCACTAGTTGTTACAACGTTAATTAGAAATTAAAGGATCTATTGCGATAGGAAAGTAACTCCACTAATTTGAGTAAAGAGACATCGATTAAAGATTCATTGAAGTAATTTCAGCTTTGTGAGTATACAAAAGCAAATCAAAATTTACGTGATAATGTATCCATATATCAAATTTTCAAAAATATTAAATTTTAGAAAAATTCACGAGACACCTTATCGATGTTGTATGGATATCCAAGTACATTTTTGAAGCTTGGAAAAACAGTGTCTGTGAAATCAGAGATTCTCTCTTACTGCTCGTGCTAATTTTTACAATTTTTCACTTTGACGCGAATGTCAAACAAAATTTCACAGTCATTACGAATAATCTCCTTTGATTTAGAGCATCCTTGAAACATTACACTGTCAAAAATCGCAATTAATTAATGCGCATTTAATAACGCAAATTTCTTCTTTTTTCTTCTCTCTCTCTCTCTCTTTCTCTCTCTCCGTCATGGTCAGATAAAATCGTGCAAGTTTTCTATCGCGATCACTTCGTCGCGAGAAATTCGTTAACTGAGGTGGATCGGCGCATTAATGAAAGTTCAACTTTATCCACCAGCTAATTAACGGAATCATCCGTTGCCCGTCCATGAATATTTCGAAGGGACAAAAAATATTTTTGTAGCCGTGCCACAGTGTGACGAAACCTCGGCCAATATTTGCACACGCCGGGCCTGTTTGATCAGACAAATTGGTCGAATCCTGGTTAATATAATTAATTCGCGAGAAGAAGAAGATACTCTCGTTTTCTATTTATATCGTTGATTTTACCACGATCGTGCGTTAAAACTAATTTTTAATTAAAATTTATTTTGTGATCTTTGTAAAATAGAAAATATCACGATATATTATTTCGTAAATGTAAAGAAGTATTGTTAAGAATCAATTTGAAAGTAAATTCATGCAAGAAATTGTAGACAAATGTACAAGGTAATAACAAATATTTCAAAAAATTGATTCAGTAACAATAAAAGAAATTCATTAAATAAGTACAGTCTTGGCTGGTTTCTCGGACTCGTCTGATTATAAACGTAACTATATCACTTTTCTGGCTAATAATATGTCTATACTACACGCTTAACTATAATGGTAACTATAAGTGGTTATACTACTTATCTATAACTTTTCTCGTTACTATTCTATGATTTGATTGTTTTATTTATATGATTGACGTGTTTTATTTAATTAATTATAATTATATATTCTACTTGATTGTATATGATTGAATTATTTTATTTATCCGATTCGATAGATTTATTGTATTA